TGCCATTGACTGTGTAACTAATTTGACCAAATAAATGCATTTCTGAACATTAAAAAATATATGCCCACCTTGAAATGTGTTGTAAAGATTAAATAAGATACTATATGAAGGTAATTAGCAAGGTGCCTAGCACAGGAAAACAATAGATCACTATTATTATTGCTTCTCCCTGTTTCACTTGCTTTCCCTGTCTAATTATGGATTGCATCCATTTCTCTTGCTGAGAAGAGGCAGGTTGGGTGGGGTGCTCAGACTGCAGGTGTGGGGCAGGACCAGCAATAGGGGAGAGCTTGGCCTCAGTGAGGCCCGGAGCAAAGGGGCTTTGGATGAGGAACAGGTGTGGTTCGGGACTAGAAGATGAAGGCAGAAGGGCAGGACCCAGGACAATGCCTTCAAAGAAGGAGGGAGGGAGGGAATGAGAGGGTCCATGTGGGGTAAGGTTGGTTCAAACACCAGCCCCTGCCCTGACCCCCTCAGACTCACGTTCTTGCTGTCTGCTCTACTCAGTCTCGGCATTTCCTGATATCAATGTGATTTCTGCCTCCAACCAGTCCCAGCCTGTCTTCACTCCACATGAACTCTCCCTCCTCTGGATCTGACCTCAGCTCCTGGCCTGTGTGGGGCCGGGCGATTCCCACTTGGTCCCAGTAACTAAGAAGTCTGGGTACAGCTGTCACATCTTCCCAGTATGTTTATCAAAAGCAAAATGAAAGCGCCCATCCCCGTGAAGATGAATACCAGTGACCTGTAGTTTTGGGGTGGTTTTTTTTTTTTTTTTTCCTTTTAATTGGCGTATCTCTGGAAAACTGCTAACGTCATGCAAATGAGGCATGAGCTGTGAATGCCTTGAAACACTTTTTTTGAAAGGGGTCCTCGGAGAGATGTGTGAGGGCTCTAAGGATCGCTGAAAGATCCTTTCTGTGCCTCAGAGACTTGTGAAATGGCTTTTCATTTACATCTGACGTTTGGATTGCTTGCTCTGAATGTTAAACCCTCCATTCTTTAAAATGTAAAATGCCTAGTGCCCCAGTGGCCCCATCCAGGGTGCACCGAGTCACGGAAACCTCCCATTATTTGCTCCCTGAGTTTCCCGGTTCTCCTGAGGCTCAGTCGGTTTGGAGAAACAACGACGTGCCCCACTTCCTGTGCTCAGGCGGTGCACGTCTGTTCTAATACCAGCGTGGCCGGAATGTCAATAAGAATGAGAACAGCAGCTAATATTTATGCTGATAGAGGCACTGTTTGAGCACATTATATGAATTGTGTTATTTAATCCCTCTGACAATCCAATGCAGTAGATACTCTTGTTAACCCCATTTCACGGGTGAGAAGACTAAGAGAGGTCAAGAGACTTGTCAAAGGACATAGAACTAGTGAATGGTGAAACCAGGATTTGAACTTGGGTATAACTCCTGAGTGTGGGCTCTCAGCCATAGGACATGCCTGCCTTCTGGATGAATCAATACTAACGAGAATTACAAGATTCCGGGTGACCAAGGTTGGACGACGTGGGCACATACACATTCTTGCTGGAGCATAAAATGACACAGACATTTGAGGACAAATTGGACTCTGCCAAAATTCTCTACATACTTCATCTTTTACTAGTCATCAATCCTGGGAATCTATGACACAGGAACCCTCGGATTTGTAAATACAGAAATACATGCACAGATGTTCATCAGAGTATCATTTATGGCAACAGTTAAATATCTGCCAATAATGTTTGTTAAAAAGCATGCAAGAACATCCATGTTACGGAATTCTACACATATATAGAATACACGGTGCAATTTTGCTTTTTCGGATATTTTCTCATCACCTGTCCATAGCATTTAGATATGGCCATGAACACCCCGGCACTCTCCAATCCTGTAGGACTTAGGTGCTGCCAGAGAATTTTGATGCAGCAACAAAAACATGTTGCTTTTAAAGTGAATGTTGCAGAGTGCCCGGGCGTTCTTGTTTCATTGGATGACACGAATGATCGCAAACAAGGAACAATAAGCAGTTGATCCCGCAGATGGTGTGGCACCACCAGATGAAACAAGTTCCAGCAGCAAGCTGTTCTCATGCCCACACACACGGACCCACCATCCTCCGGGCCTCCATAGCTCTGAAAACTAGACAGAATTTCATCACCATAAATAAACACTAATGATGGTTCCAAACAATTTGTGTTGAGCTATTCTGCAAAAAAACAAAATCAATATGTCATTAGTTAGGACTCAGAAACCAAGATTGAATTGCAATGCAAAGCCACTGTAACTCCGCCCACGCTGATTTATTTTTCTCCTTTTAGTAAAGCATTTCTTTGAGGGCAAAATGATCATCATCAGACAGTATCTCATCTCCTGGATTTCTTTCTTATTAGTCTGGACCACGCTTACCATAATTTGAGGATCTTCTAAGATGCTGTAGCTACTGACATGGGAAGTTCCATTGAGAATGTCTCCCTTGATTCTTTCCTAATAAATATCTGTTGAATAACTGAGAGAAACTACTTATGAAGTCACTTGTGAGACCTAATCTATCTCCCGAAGAGGGAACCCCGTGATATAATATTTAAGGGGGAAATGTAAAATTCATGGTGCAGAATAAGATATCCAGTCCGAAAGCTGTATGTAATGCATGCATGCACACACGCATATTATAGATAGTTGCATATGCATAGTAGATGACCTGGAATGATACACACCAAGCTGTAACATTCTGGAGAAGGAGACAGAAGGCAGGGTAGATGCTAAATGGAAAGAGCTCAACATTTACACTGTGTGCTTCTGTGGTGCTAATTTTGTCTACAATAAGCATGGATTAGTCTGGAATTAAAAATAAAATACCTATACCAGGAATTTAAAAATTATCATGGGAGTTGTGGGGAGCTGCTGCAGAGTTTAGGCAAGGAATGGATAGGTGGGGGGAGGGTGGGCTGGGGGAAAGCAAGAAGGGACAGGAGACTGAGAGACCGGTGAGGAGACTGTGGAGGGGTTCACAGGTGGTGAACACAGTGGGTCTTGGGGCCTGATCACCGTGAAGGGATGGGAGACAGAGGAATGCTGGCGATGCCTGGAGTCTGGTTCAGGCAGTGGGTGGATGTGCCTTTAGCCCAGATGGCGCCGGCTGGAGAGGAGCAGGGCTCCGGGGTCAGATGAAGAGCTCAGTGTGGGACTCGGAATATATGATGACCACAGGAAACCCAGGTCATGGGAGACCCAGCGCTGGCATTCGGGAGATAGATTAGGTCTCACAAGTGACTTCATGATAAGTAGCTTCTCTCAGTTATTCAACAGATATTTATTAGGAAAGAATCAAGGGAGACATTCTCAATAAATAAGAATGTCTCTCATGAGAAGTGTAAAGCTCTCAGGACTTAGACATGCTCTCCCTGAAGATGTGTGACTGTGGGGTGCTTATGCACCCAGTGAATCTTTCCTCTGATTAAAAGAGGGAAGCCTGAGCTCAGGAGAGGCTGCAAGTTTCCCCGGGGTGGCGGTGGGCGAGGAGCCTCTGTGGCTTGTCCCTGTAGTACCTCGGCCAACCTGGATCTGGCTGATCTCCTTCCTCTCAGGCCCACCACCCACCTACTCCTTCCTGGGCAGCAGACAAAGCGTCCAGACCAAAAGCCTTTTCTAATCTTTGGGCCTGATCCTGGAGACACCTTTAACCTCCTCCCAGTTTCCTCAGGGCTGTGGGATTTTCTGGGCAAGGTACCCAAATAAGAAGAAATCTGCCAATTTATTCCAAATATGTTCTAGGCAGCCCAGCTGGTATGGCTCAGTGGTTGAGTGTAAACATATGAACCAGGAGGTCATGGTTCGATTCCCAGTAAGGGCACATGCCCAGGTTGTGGGCTCTATCCCCAATAGGGGGTGTGCAGGTGACAGCCAATCAATGATTCCCTCTCATCATTGATGTTTCTATCTCTCTCTCTTACTCTTCCTTCCTCTCTAAAATCAATAAAAATATATTAACTATATATATATATATATATACTGGGGCAGAGCTGTGAGCCAACCAAGCAAGTCTCTGCCCTCCTGGAGCTCAGGGACCTGCTCATTCAACAACAAAACTCTTGCTTTCCCAGCTGATGACATTTTGGCTTTTCGGTGTGTAATGGGCAGTAGTGTTGAGCTCAGGCCAGAGAAATGGGAGGTAGATCAAGAACCAGCTGAATCCATTCTGGGTAACTTCCCCAGCCAGAGCCAAATTTGGACTATGGAAGTATTAAGCCTTGAGAAAAAAAAAAGTGTGATACCCCCTCACTCCCAGTGTGTAATTGAAAATAAAAAACGAAACAAACCTTAGTGTTTAGCAAGATCAGCAAAGTTCTGATTTCCCCCCCACAATGATGACTTAATGCTTGCCTTCAAAATGTTAACTGTTAGGTTCTTCCTCAAAAAATATTTTAGGTTCCTACACTTTAAGGTTGCTCTACACACTGTTCAAAGCAAAATGGAGCATAATAGCATGACTGGCACAGGGGTGTGGGCCCCCAGCTTTATTCTGGCCACTTCAACCTAAGGAGTAAAATCCTGAGTCTCAACAGCAGGAAAGGCCTTCGGTGTGACAATCATTGGGCCTGGTTGTTGGCTACATTGCGGCTTCTGCTACAGTCTAGGCCCCAGTCAGTATCTGGACAGAGCACACAGTCTTCCCTCCAGGCTAGACACAATATGGAAGTCTGGCCATCCAAGGAGGAGTCCAGGTCAGAGCCTGGCTCCACGGGGGAAGAGATGGGCTGAGCTGCAAACAAAAGTTGTGGCTCAGTGGACCATTGGTGCCCAGAACGCACCAGGCATACTGGACACTCAGCCCCACTCCCGGGGATTCCTGGGGCCCCAGGGCTTGCCCACCCTGGGGCTGGATAACTCCCACACCTGGGCCGGTAGAGCCTCAATAGCAGGTAAGTGAGGGGCGGTAGACAGTGTGACCATGTCAAAGCCCTTTTGTTCCCATGAGCCCAGCTCTCCTCACTAAGTGTCTGTGGTCCTTTTTTGCAGAGCGATGAGGTCCTCACCGTCATCAAAGCCAAAGCTCAGTGGCCAGCCTGGCAGCCTCTCAACGTGTAAGTAACAGACAGACCCTGGCTTTGCCCTGCCCCTGTCCTGGCCTTGTCCTCGGAGCCACCCGCCTAACAGCCACCCCATGCCAACTGGGTCCTTAAAGTCAGCAATACCTCTTAGGTGGACAAACAGGGGAGGTGCACTGCCCGTGGGCAGAGTAACACAGGTGCCTCTATCTTCCCAGGAAAGCAGGCGTGGCCTCTGTTTCCTCCAATGGCCCTAACACCTCAGAGGACACAACTCAGAATAAGGGTTAACCAGTAAGAATTCACTTACGTTCTCAGCCGCAAATACGTGTGCTCACCCTAAGCAAATCTGCCTCATGGAAAGCCAGGCTTACCCCACGTTCCACTCTCAGTCTCCGTCTTTTCTGTCTGTCCTGTCTCTTGGAGATTTCATCCTCCCATGCATTTGGTGACTACCAGTATGCTGATGGCTCCCAAAACTACCACTCCCCCAGGTAGGTATGTGGCTAGGAAGCTAAATCCATCCATCAATTTCTTGGACACTTCTCTGTGGGTGGCCCACATGGACCTTGAATTCATCACATCCAAAAGTGAGGCTGGCCGGTGTGGCTCAGTGGTCGAGCATCGACCTATGAATCAGGATGCCGAAGCACATGCCTGCGTTGTGGGCTCAGTCTCTAGTTGGGGGCATGCAGGAGGCAGCTGATCGAGGATTCTTTCTCATCAACGATGCTTCTATCTCCTTCTCCCTTCCTTTCTGAAGTCAATAAAAATATTTTTTTACAAAAAAAAAAAACACACACACACAAAATAAAACCCATCACTGGTTCCTATTTGTGTTCCTTCTGAGTATCTCACAAATCAGTCCTCACCTGGCCATTCTCCCACCATTAGTTTCTTTCCTAGTCTACTCCAATTTCCCCCTCTCCTATGGCCTCCCTCATCTGATCCCTCGTCCACACAGTCACCAGAGTGATCTTTAAGAACTCAAATCTGATTTCCTGGCTTAGAATCCCTCCGTGACCTCCAGCATCAAGTCAGCACTCCTCAGCTCACCTGTGAGACACAGGGAGCATCACACACTTCACCCCTGACTCTTTTTTTTTTTTTTCCCCCAGGGGCCCATATCTTATTGCTCCCTACACTGCACCTCACTGCAGCCATTCTGAATCCCATGAAATTCTTTGAACAAAGCTTAATTTCATTTGTCCTTTAAGGGTGCAAGGCCTGGAGCAGACAAAGTTCCCGGTCACGCAACAGAAAATGGTTTATGAGAATGGCTTGGCTAGCCCCTCTGTGGAGCAGTCTGCTTCCACTAACGATGACATTGATGAAGACGGCAACAACATGGGCGGGCAGGGAGGGGGAGGGCGCGTGTGTGTGAGATACTCAGTGGGAGAAAAGGCAAACCCAAAATGGTAATAAAGGAAGTACAAGAAAGACTCCAGCAGGAGTGGAAGGAGGAGGAGCACTCACACATGACCAGCTGGTGGCAGGGAAGCTGTTGCCAGGCGCCTGGTGCCCACCCGTTTAACCACTCAGGAAACTAATGGCTCATCCCCTACTATGTGCCAGCCTTATACACAGCCCCCGCCCCTCGGAATGGCCAGCCCAGAGGGAGACAGACAATACACAGAGTTCTGCCACGCCAGGTCTGCTCTGCGCAAGGCCAAGCGGCACCATGTGCACAGAACATGGATACTATAATGGCACTGTGGTGGCCCTGTGCGCTCCAGGGGATACATGTCATGGTGAGGATGTGAGTGTCTCTGGGACCCAGAGAAGGGGCACACACCAGCCCAGGAGAGAGGTCATGAAGTCTTTGTGCCCGAAGCACCACGGGGCTGAGTTCGGAAAGCTGCTCCTTGCCTCGGAGTGGCCCCGGTCTGGCGGGACTGAGACCCTGAGGGGGACCTGAAGCCAGCTCACCACGGGCAGCCCAGCCGGCTGCATGGAGGCTTCTTCTAGCTTGCTCTGGATCTCCTCTGAGGAAGTTGAGACCAGGGTAAGCTAATCCTTAAACACGGGTTAGGAGTGCCAACCCCTCGCACAGCTGATAGTCGACATATAACTTTCGAATCTCCCAAAACTTACTAATAGCCTTCTGTTGACCAGAAGCCTTACCATTAACATAACAGTCGATTGCCACACAGTTACATGTTTTATTTATTATACACTGTATTCTTACAATAAAGTAAGCTAGAAAAAAAGAAACTGTTGTGAAGAAAATCATCAGGAAGAGAAATACATGTAGTACAGGACTGTATGTATTGACTGCAAAAAAATTCCCCATATACAGAATAAAAGTAGGCTTACAGTTGTAAGTACATAAAAAACTAAGCTTATTCCTGTATTATTATTATTGACTATTGTGTTATTTTCCATAGGAACAACGGTAAACCTACTTTGCCCCACCCTGTTAAGTGGACCCGGGCACTTGTTGTTCAAGGGTTGACCATAGTTGAAAACCTGCCCAGGCTTAGAAGTGCCTTTTTGTCAAAAAGCAATAGCTGCAGTGCCTGCTGCCCTGGGCTCTCTACTCATGGGTGGGCATTTATCTGTCTCACGCTAGACACTAATGTGCATTCACAAAAGCCCTCGGCCCTCTTTGCATAAGTCACATCAATCAGAAAAAAACATCCAGCCGGGACCGGTTTGGCTCAATGGATAGAGCGTCGGCTTGGGGACTGAAGGGTCCCGGGTTCGATTCCGGTCAAGGGCATGTACCTTGGTTGCGGGCATGTCCCCAGTAGGGGGTGTGCAAGAGGCAGCTGATCGATGACTCTCTCTCATCGATGTTTCTAACTCTCTATCTCTTTCACTTCCTCTCTATATGAAATAAATAAAATATATTTAAAAAAAAGAAAAAAAAAAAAAGAAAAAAACATCCACTCTGAATCCGGTTTGCTCAGGCTCTCTCCTCAGCTTCTCCCAGCCCCAGCTCCCAGAACCTAGATGTGAAGAGTTCCTCACCGCTGGTTCTCTGAACAGGCAGGGGCTCAAAGCCAGGAAGGAGCTGGGGACATCTGGGCCACAGGACTTGTGGATGACAAATTACACCAGTTAGGAAACCTTACACTATTTCCCCTTAAGGGTTTAGAAACACGTAAACAGTAAAGCAAGATGCTTCAGGAAGGAAAGAGGGAGGAAGGGAGAGAAGAAAGGAAGCAGAGAGAAATCCTTTTACCCTGAGCACCTACTCTTTGCCAGATACCCTACGAGGCACTTACCTTCCTTATCCACTTAATCCTTGCACTGCCCTAACTGGTTTGGCTCAGTGGATAGAGCGTCAGCCTGCAGACTGAGTGGTCCCAGGTTCAATTCCAGTCAAGGGCATGTACCTGGATTGTGAGCACATCCCCAGTAGGAGGTGTGCAGGAGACAGCTGAGAGATGTTTCTCTCTCATCGATGTTTCTAACTATCTCTCTCCCTTTCCTTCTGTAAAAAATGAACAAAATATATATTTTTTAAAATCCTTGAACTAACTTCCATAATAAACTCCATAAGGATTATGACCCTCCATTTACCAATGATGGGACTGAGGCTCGGAGGTGGTATGACAGGTCCAATCTCAGCATCCAGCTCCATCAGTGGAGGTACTAGAATTCAAACAGTATCCAGCTGACTCCAGTGCCTACGCTCTTCACTACAATTAAGTAACCATTCATCTTCCATTTCTTAATCAATCAAAACATATATGTCAATTGGACTTCTGAGCAGCATGAAATAGCAGCGTGACCACCAAATTGTCTTACTCCCACCAAAAACAAACAAAAAAGTCTGAACTTACACTCATCCTGTGTCCTAGCAAGGATGACTGAGCCTGGCAGGTGCAGCTCAGTTAGTTGAGCATCATCCCGTGCACCAGGAGGTTTCAGTTCAATTCCTGGTCAGGGCACATGCTGGGTTGCAGGCTCCATCCCCAGTAGAAAGTATGCAGGAGGCAGCCTATCAATGCTTCTCTCTCATCAATGTTTCTATCTCTCTCTACCTCTGTCTGAAATCAATTTTTTTAAACTTAAAAAGAAAAGGATGACTAAAACATTTAGTTACCTCAACAAACATTTTACGGGGGGGGGGGGTGATCTCCAAAGGAAAATACTGTGAAAGGTCCTTAGGGTCCCAAGGGTGAGCAGAGCAGAGGTTCTCATGGAGCTTACAGTTTCATGGGGGAGAGACATTCACCAATGGTGACAGATGTGACTTGCCTGTGAAATAAAGACATAAGCTGCCATCAGATTAGAACCTCAACCCAGCCTGTGGGGAGGGGAGGGTCAAAGGAATCTTCCTTAAGGAAAGGAGAATTGAGCTAAGAGTTCAGGAATCAATAGGAGTTAACTAGGTAAAGAAGCAAAGCTAGGGGAGAACATTCTAGAAAGTCTAGAGAGACCATTATGTGCAAAAGCCCTGAGGAGGGAGCAGAGCATAAAGTACTAACAGAGTATGGTGTGACTTTATCCAGAAATCAAAGATGAGTTTGGTGTGGGGCCAACCCACGCAACATTAGGTTATTTTGATTTTTGCATTATGAGGAATCGTTGAAGGGTTTTGAGCGGAAATCGTTGAAGGGTTTTGAGCGGAATGGCATGATCAGATTTAGGTGAAAGCAACAACAGCACTCTGGCTCCAACAGAGCAAAGGGTAAGAATAGATGAGATAACACCAGTGAGGAGGCTGTGGCAGAGGCTCAGGGAGAATTAATGGTGACTTTGATTAGCGTGGTGGTAGTGGAGATGGAGAGGCGCAGAGATCTGAGAGATGGACAGGCCATGGCGATCAGTTAGGTAAGGAGGATGCGAGAGGCAGACAGGTCAAGATGCACAATTAATGAGTTGGCGGGGCCTCTCATAAGATGTGGAACATCAGATGACGTTCAACGGAAAGATGGTGTGTTCGGTCCTGGAGGGGATGTGTTGGAAATGGCTTCAGGATATCCAGTTGAAGGCGATCCATACACAGTTATCTCCGGAGCTCTGAAGGTCCTGGGGAGAAATACACACTGAGTCAACAAGGAATGGGAGACAGTGACATGGCT